GGGGCTCGATCCCAGGACCCTGGGATCATGACCTGAGCCGAAGGCAGACGCTTAACAACTCAGCCACCCAGGTGCCCCTGATGATTGTATTTTCATCCCAAATACCGGGTTTCCCCATTTGGAGGGGCTGGGGTGGAGACTCAGAAGCGATATTCCTCTCAGCCTCTGATGTGCTCCCTTGTTCGTTATGTGGTTGTTTACTGAGCACCTGCTGTGTGCCCGGCACTGTTTGAGGCCCTGGGGACTCAGGGAAGGAGGGGGCTGGTCAGCTGGAATTTGTAAATACCTTCCAGTCTTCTCTTTGATCCTTTCAATCTGGAAGGCTCCGTGTGCCATGGCTCCGTACCAAGCATTCATAGCTTGCTTTCACGCAGCCGGGGCCCAACCCCAGACTTTCCTCAGATGAGCAAGACAGACAGACGTGGCCCTCGGCGCTTGCTTTCCCGGGGCGGGGGTGGGGGCGGGTAGTCACCAAGCACGCCGACAGATGGATACTGTCGTGCCGGGAAGTGACTCGTGCCCTCATAGGAGAGGAGAGAGCAGGTTAGGGGGCTGGGCTGGGCAGCTGCTTTAGCATGGGGATCCCTAAGGAGGCGCCAACTGAGCAAAGAGCTGGAGGAAACCAGGAATGAGCCATGCCCACCCCCACTTCAGCTTCTCATCCACTGTCAGGCTTCTAGTGGCCAGAAAATCCAGTGAGGTTCAGATGGATGTTAAAAGCCCAGGCCCTGCTTTCTACCTGCCTTCCTGGCCCACAGGAATCCACGGACCCTCTCGCAGGGTCACACGGAAGCCAGGGGTTCAGTGGAGACACAAACCCTGGCCAATGCCAGAAGCATCTTCTGGGGAGAGGGGGGCAGCCTGGGGACAGATCCCAGGCCCCGCCACAAGGTGGCGGGGGACAAGTCCTGGGAGAACCCAAACTCGGCCTATTGGCTGGGAGTCTCTCCAAGATTCCAGGAGACTCCTGAGAGGCGGCCAAGCCTGACCCTGACCCTCTCCTTCCTTCACAGGGCAGAGTCCGAGGTGTCCCCCAGACCAGGCTCCCCCAAGGTCAGTGGGAGTCCCTCGGAGGCAGCCACTCCAGCGGAGGACATGGCTCGGAGAAGTAAGTTGGCGGTGGGGAGAGGGAAGGGGGAAGAAGGTGTGCAGGGAGAGGGCCCATGTCTTCAGATAGCTGGCGAGGCCAGAAATCCAGGTGGCCAAGAGCACAGGTTTGCTGCCTGACACTCTGGGTTCAGATTCCAGATCTGTGACCTTAGGCAGGTGACTGCACCGTGTCCGCCCCTCCTCCTCTGCGTCATGGAGCAATAACCACACCTGCTCTGTAGGGCTGTTTGTTAAATGGTGCCGCCTGACTCACACCTGGCACACAGTACATGCTCGATGAAGCTCAGGCATCACGGGGGTTGGGGGGCTGTGGAGTCCGCCCCTCCAGAAGTCCAGAGAGCGGAGTGAAGAGGAGGGAAGGTGGGGTGGAGGCTTCAAAGGGCAACGAGAGGGGGAGGCGGTGGTGGCGAGAAGAAATTTGGGGCTCCCCTGCGCCCCTTTGGTGCACGTACCTGTTGACTTGGCCTAAAGCCAAGCAGGTGAGAAGGCCCAGGGTTCAGATGGGGAGTCCCCACTAGGAACCAGGACACTTGGGAGGGTCCAACCAGCCCAAGAGGCACTGGAGTTTTCTACGTGGGGGGTACAGCTGACAAATCACAGAGGGACCTTCCTGCAGGATGGGGCATCTAGGGATATGTGCTCAGTGGAGCATAGCACCTCAAGTGCCCGAAGGTCCTCGTGCCAGCCCTGGGAGGTCCAGGCTTGCATCCCATCTCCCCGATGAGGAAACTGAGGCCCCAGGGGGCATGTGATTTGCCCAAAACCCACAGTGGGTGGAGGCGAGGCTAGGACCAGAGTCAGGCCTCCTGGCCCCTCAGCCGCCTCATGAGGTTGGAATGTGCAGTGGGATCTCTGAAAACTAGGGTGGGGGGCTTCTGGTGGGCTCCTGAGAGGTGAGCAAGACCCCAGAGTCAGGGGGGACAGCTAGCATTTCTTTGTTCAACAAATACATATTGAACACCCACTCTGTGCCCCCAACACTGTGCTAGGGCAACCTCACATAGGATGGCCTCACTTCGTTTACTTTCTCATCAGGGAGTCAAGCAAAATAAAAACGGACATGCTCCTTTCGGAGGGCAGAAAGTCCTGTGAAGAAGATACAACAGGAAAATATGCCAGTGCCTAGAGCAGGGCAGGGGAAGGGGCACTCTAGCTGAGGGGGTGAGGCCCATGGAGAGAGGCCTAAGTGATGGGGAGCCAACCGTGGAAACAGTATTCCTGGCAGAAGGAATGGCAGATACAAAGGTCCTGAGGTGGATGCCTAACTGCCCCGTCCTTCCTCCACAGCCAAGCGCCCAGCGCCAGCCCGGCCCACCATGCCGCCCCCCCAGGTCTCCAGCACGCGCTCCTCCCCTCCAGGCCCACTCCTGCCCCCTGGCTCTAGCAGCCCTGTGATCCCCCAGGCTCTGCCCCGCCGTCTGGTTGGCAGCAACCTCCGGGCCCCTACAGTGCCACCCCCATTGCCCCCCAATCCTCCCCAGCCCGCCCGGCGCCAGAGCCGGCGTTCACCAGCCTCCCCCAGCCCCGCCTCCCCAGGGCCGACCTCCCCCAGCCCTGCTCTGAGCATTCCTGCGCAGGTGGACCTGGGGGCGGCCCCAGAGGAGGGAGGGGCCCCTGAGGCTGTGAGCGGGACCTCCACTCCCCCAGCCATCCCCCCTCAACCCCGGCCCAGGAGCCTTGCCTCAGAGACCGACTGAGCGGGCTGCCCCTCTGCAACAGCCCCTCAGCATCTCTTCCCTCCCACCTGTCCGCCCAGGACACAGCCCTCACCCATCCCCGGGGTGGGGGCCTCCAGCTTTTGCCTACAAGTGCCTCGGTGCCCGCTGGGTCGGCCCCCATGGCAAAGAGGACTCAGGACAGTCCTCCACCTCCAGACCTTTCCCTCTGCAGCCGCCCTGGGCTTGGGGACCCCTCACCCAACTCGCAGCTCTCTGGCAGGGTCCCCGGGGAGCCGCCGGAAGGAAGGAGGGGCTTGCCTGCTCCTACAGGACTGTTATTTTTCTCTTGCCAACAGATTGTTTTGTAAGGCTGGTAAATAAATTATTTTGGACAAAACTAGAGCAGCTGCCCCAATTATAGTTGGGTTTTTTCTTTCTGCCCTCAAAATAAAGAAGCCACTTGCATGAAAGGGAAGATATTCCCTCTTCTTTGCCTCCTTCCTTTCTTCCTGTCTGAAAGAAAAAGGGCCAGCGTTTTCAGCACTTAACTCTGCGCTCTCCACTTTGCTTTTCCATGCATGGTTTCCATAGAATCCTCTCCCGGGGAAGTAAGTCCCATTACCTTTGACTGGTTGAGGAGAGACTGAGGCTCAGAAAGCGACCTGCCAGGCACACAGCAAGTGAGGCGTGGACATGGAATCAGGACCCGGCTCTCACTGATTCCAGAGCCTGGGCCTGTCCCTCACAGCCTGAGCAACTCACTCACTTCTTAGTGCTCCAGTTTCCTTCATCGGGGAAACGGTACAGCCATCTTCACTCCAGAAGTGTTCTGAGGATTACATGAGACATTCCTGTAAAGACCAAAGCACCACCCTTGCACACAGAAGCGCCCTCTAAGAGTTGGCCGCTGTGGATGTCAGCTCCCCCAACTCCTGGTGTTCTCGGAGTAGGCAGGAAAGGCTACTCAAGTTGCAGGGCTGGATCCGTCTGCAAACCACAGTGGCTGGTCTGGGCTGGACCCTGGGCCAGGCCCCCAGCTCAGCCCTACACTCAAGGAGCTCCTGGGAACAGACAGGCAGGAGAGCTGACAATGAGAATCAAGTGTAATGGCACCGGGAACCCATGTCAAGCCAGTTAGGGGCTGACAAGCTAACCCAGACTGTGTGTGGAGGGCACAGGAAGGCTTCGTGGAAGAGGTGATTCAAAGAGGCTTTTAGGAGTTGACGAGGTGAAAAAGTCAGGGAAGAAGGAAGAACATTCCAAGCTAAGGAGACTACCTGAGACAGGAGCAAAAGGCCAGAGCATTGGGGAACAGGAATTATTTGAGCCTCAGAGAGGGGGGACAGAGTAGGGTGGCTTTCCCCAGGTCTTCGGAGCTCTGGTTGCTCCTGGAGGTCAGGTCTTCAGCGCCTTCTCAGAAGTTGGCTGACAACTTGGAATTGTGACACATGTCTCCCCAGGTGGGGACCGAGGCAGCCAAGTCACCCCAATCGCTGCCCTGGGCAACTGGCTACTGCTCTGGCTCCTTCAGTCCCCAGGGTGCTTAGTGACTGGCTGCCTCTAGCAGCTTGGCCACCCAGTGCCTCTCCACCCTGGCCTTGGGTAATTAAAAAACAAAAACCGAAAATATCTCGGCCCCGGCCAAAACAATTAAATCAGAATCTCTGGGGTGCAGCCATGCTTTGGTATTTTTAAAAAGCGTTTGTCAAAGCCATCGAGCCGTACATTTAAGATCTGCTCATCTTACTTGTATGTAAATTAAATCTCAAAATATAAGTTCCCCAGGGGACTCTACCAGCCAGCGTGGAGAACGACTGGTCTGGGCCAGGGACCCCCGCGCTCGAGAAGACACTATGTGCCTCTCTCCCATCATCATACTGACACGCTTCACAGGACTTTGCTCAGTACTGGAGCGTCCAGGGTTCAGAGGGCAATGAGATTTGACCCAAAGGCAACATCTCCCTTAGCATCTGTTTTCCTCCTAGCAACCAGCTCTCCTAAGCTTCCGATTGGCTGGGGAACGCAAGGGAGGCTAATCGCCCCAGATTTTCTATTCGTAACTCTTCATTGGCCAAGAAGAACGTCAGTCCATCCTTTAATTGGCTAGTCGGGGTTGAAACTCGGCGGCGACTGGCCTAGCAGAGCTAGTGGGCGGGGCGAAGGCTAGGTCTTCATTGGGGTAGAGGCCTCGCTCCTCTCCTCTCTTCTTGCTCCCATTGGCCCGCGGACCAGGCCGTGACCCCGCCCCGTGGCCCTTCCGGCGCGCCGATTGGTCGCTGCGGGAAACGGGGTGGGCTGAGGGCAAGCGCGCCGTGCACGCAGAGGGAGAGCGGCACGGCGCGGGGGTGCGGGGGGCCAGCCGGCTGCATGGCGCGCTGCGAGCGGCTGCGCGGCGCGGCCCTGCGCGACGTGTTGGGCCGGACGCAGGGCATCCTGTTCGACTGCGACGGGGTGCTGTGGAACGGCGAGCGCGCCGTGCCGGGCGCCCCTGAGCTGTTGGAGCGGCTGGCGCGGGCCGGCAAGGCGGCGCTGTTCGTGAGCAACAACAGCCGGCGCGCGCGGCCCGAGCTGGCTCTCCGCTTCGCGCGCCTCGGCTTCGGGGGGCTGCGCGCCGAGCAGGTCTTCAGCTCCGCGCTGTGCGCCGCGCGCTT